CGTCCCGGGCCCGGCACCCCCGAGCCCGGGGACAGCGCGAGATAGGCCTTCACCCCCACGTTTCGGTCCTCTCCCGTGTGGGGTCGGGCGGCTGGAGCTCGCCTCGCCCGGGCAAGCCCGGCTGTGGTCGTTCGGGGGCGAATCCCGACGCCGGGGACTTAGGTTCTCGTCGACCTGCTCTGCCCCCCGAGGGGGGGCGGTTCCTGAGTCTTAACTGTACGTTTATTACGCGTTACAACGAGAACACCTTTGGAGACGGGAAATGCGGCACCACGGCGAGGTGGTTGCTGTAGGATGACGATCGTGGTTAGTTAGCGTCGCATTAATGCGAGCGGTACGGAAGGAAGATTTCCTGGCGTTTCTGGGAAGACACTGGCCTGAAAGGCTAAGTTCCTTGCGTAGGATTTTGCTGGTCAAGGTCGAGGCCAGGTGCGGCTTGTCGGGCCTGATAGCCGGGCCTCAGCTGATGGAGACGCCTGTGCTTTACCTGGGTGGCTTCACCACCTGGATTCTGTCCTTTTAAATCTCTGCCTTCCACAAACCTCTGTTAGGCGCTTGGTGGGTGCCAGGCACTGTGCTTAATGCTTCACATGTTATTTAATTCAGACTTCCTAACAGCCTTTTGAGGCAGGTGGTGTTACCTCTCTGTGCAGGTGTAAGAGAGGCAAGTTGATGCAAGCCACGCCGCATCAATTTAAAACAATTTTATTATTTTAAAATTAAGTTTTAAAGCAATAATTCTCATCGTTTCATCGCTTTCCTCTAATGGACATTGGCTGTTTGCTGGAGTAGAAATCCGTGGCCGTCGTGTTCTTACCTCTCCAGTGCTTTCGCCTGCTGGTGAATACGCTTTACGCCTCCCCTTTCCCCCAGGTTCAATTCCCATAAATCATACTCCGTAGTCATTATAACCACACAGTTGTTTGGGTTCCTTTTGTTGCCATAAACAAATACAGTGAATAAGTCCTTTTGCATCTTCATAATTGTAACTTAAATTTAAGAGCCTGTTTTCTTTTAAATCCTAGATCCTGCCCCAGTTCAACTTATAGTTCAGTTTTTGGAACAGGCTTCCAAACCTTCCGTTAATGAACAAAACCAAGTTCAGCCTCCACCTGATAACAAGAGGAATCGTATTTTAAAACTACTTGCTCTTAAAGTTGCCGCACATTTGAAGTGGGACTTGGACATATTAGAGAAAAGGTATACAGGATTTAAATGACACTTGGGGCTTTGGTGGCTCTGAGGCTGGGGAGATTCCAGCCAGGCTGAGCACGTCCGATCTGATTGTCCTCCCAGCCTTTGACCCTCACCCGAAGGCCCTCAATGAAGTGGTGGAATTTAAAAACTAAAAAAAATAAGTAAAAAGGAAGAAATTCATTTTAAAGTACCGTTTAGATATCTTGGCCGGTGTGGCTCAGTGGCTTGGGCCATCAGCCAGGTTGTGGGTTTGATTTTTGGTCAGGGCATGTACCTAGGTTGAGGGTTCGATCCCCCATCCTGCAGGGCCAGTGCTCCAACCACTGAGCCACATCGGCCAGGTCTAGTACAAACGTTTTTAAGGCATGTTACATATTGCCAGATTGCATTCCAAGAGAGTTTTATGTATGAGTTTATAACTCTCAGTAGTATTTAAACACTTTTTTCATCACCCATTCTCCAGCATTAAACATTAAAATTAAAAGAAAATTCTATTCTTTAATCTGAAACCTATCTATTAATAGACTCAAGAAGTATAGCAACAGGTAGCAATGTGTACAAAACATATGATGTTTATGGTGCAGTTGGAAAACTGAACATTGGGTTTTTGATGATAAGCAATTGAAAAATTTTTAGAAGTGAAATTAATACTGTGAATATGTTGAGTTAATTTTTGGGAGCAATATTCTGAAATACTTGGGGAAGAAATAGTTTAACATTGGAAATTTGCTTTACAATAGTATGGGAAGGAGGGAATAGGGTAAGGGTAGAGATGAAACAAGATTGGTCATCAGTTGTAATTGTTGAAGCTGGATAATGGGCACATGGGGATTCATTATATTATTCTGTCTACTTTTGTATGTTTACATTATTTTCATAAAAAAAATTTCGAGTCTTAAAACTTGATATTTTCATATAAGTTGAGACAAATCAATAAAATGGCCCTGTAGATTTAGTCCTTTAACAGTGTAATATTTTCAGTGAAGATATTAAATTGTGTATTTTGTGCTTCTTATGCAGCAAACATGCAAACATGTACTTTCTGCTTCTCCCTTTTAAGTTTGTCTGTTCCAGTGTTGAACATGCTACTGAATGAACTGCTGTGCGTCAGTCAAGTTCCTCCTGGGACAAAGCATGTAGACATGGATCTGGCCTCTTTACCTCCGACCACTGCCATGGCTATCCTTCTCTATAATAGATGGTAAGTGAAAAAAAATTTTTTTTGAGAGTACACTTATTAAAGCTGGGGACAGTGAAACAAGAAAGGGCTTAGGATAGAAGAAGCAACAGGAGAGCCTATGCAGGGTTGCTTTGTTTCTCTAAAAAAGTTATAGGAAAGAAACGTGCCTAGGTGGGGCTGCTTTGGCTCACTGAGATGTCAGAGAAAAGGGGGCCTTGGAGACAGGATCAGGGGGTAAGCCCGGCTGAGCTGGTGCTGCCTATTGCTCTCTGGTTGCAAGTCTCGTGGGGACCCTTAAACTTAAACTTCAGGAGATGCATACCTATAGAGGGGAAGAAAAGGGGAAAGGAAAGGTGCAGGTGTGCTCCCTGGACAGAGCACAATGGTAGATTTTTTTACAAACCTAAAATGTGTTGGGCAGCCTCCATTTAATTGCACTCTGGCTTTTCAGGGCTGTGCTTAAGGGTTCCTTATACTCCAGAGCTCTCTCAGATGATCTTGGGAAATGTGAGTCTAATGGGAAAAACTTGTGACTGCATAGATGGAAAGCATTCTGATGAAAATAAAGTTATGGATGATTTGAAAGTTTTTATTATATGTTAATTCAAACTCCAGGTAACTTATAATGTGAATCTTCTAAGGAATACTTGAAAAAATAATTGAAGTGACCTTTATAATGTATTAAATTTTCTTCTTCTTGTGTTTTCTTCAGGGCAATTAGGACAATTGTTCAAAGTAGTTTTCCTGTCAAACAGGCAAAACCTGGACCTCCTCAGTTAAGTGTGTAAGTTGACAGATAATGACCCTTACCTGGCACTTTTTTCATATGACCCTTACTTGAAACTTTTTTCATCAGGTTTTTTAAGAATTTTGCAAATTTTTAATAACCTTGGGTACATAGGAGTAGAGCAAAAATTGGAGGGCAGAAGGCCTTCCTCAGAAGCTGGGTTTGGAGGAGTTAGAGGCTGAGACAGTCAGGGTGTTCTGGATATTTAGAGTAGAGACCTCTAAAAAAGAAGGGGAGTGCTTGTGAATTGTGCCATTCATCTTAATTATTAACTGACCTTCAAAGTACTAAGATTTTTTTTCATTTAATTAAATTTACTTGAGGATATATTCTGTATGGAGAAAATTATTTTAATATATGTAAATATTATTTTAGACTACAAAATTTATTACAAAAGTTTGATCGTATCTGGAGTTTTAAACCTAATTCTTAAATTCCAGGTAGCAGCTTATTAATATTTGGAGCTAGAGAGCATAGTTTCTAACTTGAAATAATTAAGCTTTTGCTGCCAGTAAGTTTTTTGTTGTTGTTTTTTTAAAATATATCTTTATTGATTTCAGAAAGGAAAGGAGAGAGAGAGAAATATCAATGATGAGAGTCATTCATTGTCTGCCTCCTGCATGCCCCCTACTGGGGACTGAGCCTGCAACCTGGGCATGTGCCCTAATGGAAATGAACCTTGATCTCCTGGATCATAGGTTGATGCTCAACTGCTGAGCCATGCTGGCCCGGCAGTAAGTTTTATTCCTAAATTGAGGGGTTTTGTTGTTGTTTTGTATAATGCAAAGTAAATGAGAGAATAATGGTAAATGAATATAATTTTGAGTTTTTGTTTTTTTAAGCATGAAAATAGCATTAAAAACATTTTTATTTAAATATAACCTTGTTTTCAAGAATGATGCTCTTCAGTTTTGAATTTTCTGTCCTTTGAGTAACATTTGATACTCTGCAATCTTTTCTCTTAGTATGAGTCAGATGCAGCAGGAGAAAGAGCTAACAGAAAATATTTTGAAAGTGGTGAGTATCTGCATCAGTTATACTTTAACATTTCTGAGGCACACACTGAGCCGGCTTAGATACTTCTCCTAACTAGGTATATGAGAGTTGGCCTGGTCTGGAAACAGTGACATCGGTTTTCACTGTTAGAGTGTAGCTTGCTAATATTCTAACTTGTACAGATTTTCAGTGTTAACGATACAGTGCTTTACTACCAATTCTGTTGAATATTTTATGATACTTTAGCAGCTATGAGACATCACTCTTGCAAGTGATATCTTTGCATTCTTTTATATTTCCCAAAAACTTTACAATAAACATTACTGAGATATTTTAAAATTACTTTTGTAGTCAGAAAAGTACAAGTTATTTTTTAAATTGATTTAGTAATGTAAAAGTAGAAACGTGGGAGTTGCCATAATTTTCAAATGATCTCTGTAATTCTGTATTTAACACCTACAATGTGCCAGAGATCCCATGTGATGTGCAGGGGCTGGGAGAAGAGAGGGAAGAAACAATCTGCATCTAGTGCCCATTAAAATGGCTGGTACATTGAAGCATAACAAACATTTCTTGAATAAATCAGTGGAACAGTAAATCTTGAAAATATTTTCTTTATTAACTTTTCTATAGAGAAAAGATAGTTTTTTAATTTGTATTTTTTAATTTCACAGGAACTTACTGTATTTTTTAATTTAAAATAACTAGTTCAACAAATTTAATTGCACTCCTGTGTTAAAAATATTTTTTTAATAGCTTAGTACAGTAAGCTACAGAGTATTCTGTAAATATATTTTGGTTAATGTAGTCCATTGCTGCCATTTTTGTATTTTAATAATTTGTTTATTGAATTTTTATAGCTAAAAGAACAAGCTTCTGATTCTATTTTGGTACTAGAGGCAGCCCTTAAATTGAACAAGGATCTTTATGTCCACACAATGAGGACACTAGATTTATTGGCCATGGAGCCAGGCATGGTAAATGGAGAAACTGAGAGTTCTACTGCTGGATTGAAAATCAAAACTGAGGAGATGCAGTGCCAGGTATTCATTTCCATATTTAATCAATGCATAGCAAATTTTTGGAAATCTTATCCTGGTATTTTTAATTAGAATTTATTTCTCCTTTTGTCTCTCTTTTTCTTTCAGTCCTCACCCAAGGACATTTTTTTCAGTGCTTTTCTGAGAGTGTGGCAGGAAGAGAGAGAGAGAGAGAGAGAGAGAGAGAGAGATACATACATTGACATGAGAGAGACACATTGATTGGTTGCCTCCTGCATGGATTGAGCCTGCAACCAAGGTACATGCCCTTGGCTGTAATTGAACCCGGGATCCTTCAGTCAGGGGGCCAGTGCTCTAACCCCTGAGCCAGATTGGCCAGGACTTTTTTTTGTTTGTTTCTTTTTAAAGATTTTTTTTTTTTTAATTGATACTGAAACACTGGGGATCGAGCCTGCAACCTGAGCATGTGCCCTGGCTGGGAATCGAACCTCGATCTCCTGGATCTTAGGTGGGTGCTCCACTGCTGCGCCAAGCTGGCCGGGCCCCCCTCTTCTGTTTTAGAAGAACTCTTTACCATCTGAGACTTGGCAGGAGGCAGAGCTTGCTTCCTGTAATAGAGCTGAAAACTTGAGAAATACTAGCTTTCTCTAGCCTTATCCTGCTTGAGGGCAAGAATGTCACGTAGGTGTGACAGACATATATTTAGTTTAGACTGCATCAGGAGCTCCTAAGTCAGTGAAGTGGGGATGATAGAGAATTGTTGTGATGGTGAGCAGCAGCAACAGTGACAGGAAAATCTAGTTTCCAGGGGCCGTAGTAGTAAGGGTGTATGTAGCTGCTGCTTTCCGTGTCCAGTGATGGTGGCTAAGGGTGCTAGGAGCTGTGGAGTCTAGTGTTGAGACGCTGCTGTAGCCGTGTCTCATTAGACCAGTTGTGTCTCTTGTCCTGACTGCTTGCCTCCCTTGCCCCCTTTTGATTTTCAGCCTGATTCTTTGACCTTACCAATAACTCTGTAGGCCACCTGAAATCTTATCAGTAAATCTATTTTCTGCTTCATCCGAGTTGGTTTCTGTTGCTTGTGACTAAGATCATTGATTGTTTCACTTCTCATTGAAATATGTTTTATTCTTATACATATTACCTATGTTTTGCTGAGATGAAAGATAATTTTGGGTTTTGTCAACTTTTATGTACATGAAAAATTACTAACGAGATTGACGTTCATTACCACTTTAGGTGTGTTATGATTTGGGTGCAGCATACTTCCAGCAAGGCTCTACCAATTCAGCTGTCTATGAAAATGCCAGAGAAAAATTTTTTAGAACCAAAGAACTAATTGCAGAGGTAAATACGGTCATAACAGGCACATAATATTCAATCCTTTACAACATCTGTATATTTTTCGCTTTAATTTTTTTGGTAAACGGTGTTTATTGTAGTAACTGCAAAGTTCAAAAAAGTACTGAAAACAGTTGTTAAAAATCTATACTACCACTACCTGGAAATAACCCCGTATTTCCTTCTGGTTTTTATTCTTTCTGTATATGTTTTTATACAGTTAAGCTCATTCTGTATATCCTCCCTTAAATTTTTGAATAGACATTTAAAATGTATTCTATTGTGTGATTTGCTTCATTTCCCGCATGTTAGGGCAATTGGGTTGCTTACTGGTTTTATTTATTATAAAACTTCAGTTCTGTATCTGCAAGCATAAATTTTTTTTCGATTTTAGATACTTTCAAGTTAAATTATTGCATGTAGAATTGCCATTTCCATTGGTTATTAATCCCCCCC